GGGGGTCGAGGGGGTGCGAGGTTGTCAGTGCCCCAGTGGCTGAGGAGGCTTGGCCCGTGGCCTGCCGTGGCACCGGGAAGGCTGCTGTGGGGCTCCTCAGCCTGGACGTCACGTCCCGGGTGCTGTCAGCTGCCCCCTCAGAGGGCTTGGACTCCCAGCAGTGCCGCGCAACTATCAGCTGCTGTTGGCTGCGCAGCTTTCAGTGCTCGGAGCCTGTGCGGCTTCAGCAGTCACTTCTCTGTATGCGAGAGCAGAAAGGTGCTGGTGCCAGTCAAGGGTTTTGTCTGGATTTATCAGATCAGGGGAAGTAAAGGCAGGTGCCTGTTTTTTCAGGCTGTGACAGCTGATGTCCCATGGATGGAGGAGATCGACCTCCCACTTTGCCAGACTGTGGCAGCATAAAGAAACGTGCAAGTTTGTCCTGATGATTGCAGAGCTGGTGCGTGGCCATGTTGCAGCTTGTGGCAGCCCCAGGCTCTGCTGCTGATGGTGTTGGGCTCAGTAGCATTGAGGATAGAGTTAATATGCAAGAGGTAGTGGGAAGGTTTTATGCCGGAGCTATTGGTTATTTCCTCTTTCAGCACAGAGTGAAGTGATGATGAGCCAGGCAGAGACTGTGGAGACCTTAACTCCTGCCTCAGCATTTGGGTGAGGGGAGAGACTGAGTCAGAAATAATGAAGGCTGTCTCACTCCCTCGTGTTTTCAAGGGCTGGTGAACCTGGTGCCAGGCCCATCTCTGCCTTACTGAGTTCTCTGAATCATGCAGCTTGCACCAGTGCAGATGCACACTGTGAACTTGAGACTGTTGGAAAATCTCGATGAGCTGAGATGCTTGCAACTTCCTCTGTCCTGTTGCAATCCCTTTTTGGGAAGGCATGAGCAGGAAGTGGTCTCATTCTGCGTGGTGTTGTAGTGGTGCCTCTCTGTGCTTTCCCTCCCTGTCCTGAGCCCTGCTTTCATGCTCCAGTCCTGCTACCCCAGCTCTTTTCTGTCCTTCTGGCTGCAGGGCTGGGAATTAGAGCTCACAAGTGTCCACTCTTTCTTTTGTATATGAGAAATTTCTCATGGAGAAATGGAAGGTGCTCTGAGGATCTGCCCTGAGCCGGTTGTAGCTCTTTTCTACCACTCCTGGGGAGTGGGGGTGGCTGAGGCTGGCTGGGTTCAGTTCCGGCTCTGGCAGCCAAGCAGCAAAGCCAAAACACAAGTCACAGACCAGCTGGGCCCAGCACCATAGAGATCATCCCTGAAGGTTGCTGGGTGTGCAGACTGGGATGTGGCCTCCCTCTGTGCTCCCTGGCTGTGCTGGCACTATTCCTCGTTTGTGTGTGTCACAGCAGCGGACAGGGGACACCTCAATTCTGTGGGTGGGAGGGGTGTTACTACTTCCCATTTCAGGGCCAGCTCGCCTGGCAGTGCTTGTACAGAACTCGTGGTGTGTGTGGTGCTAAGCCCCGAGTCACATGTGGAGGGGTTTAGCACATAGGGACGATGGGGACATCCCTGCTGCAAGGCTGGCAGGTCTCCCTATGCTGTAGTGCCGAGGCAATCTTATGGGATGAGTTGTCCTGCAGGTCTTGGCTGTGGACAGGGAAGGGCTCCTCCAACTGGGGGCACATAGTCCTGCCCCTGTATTGCTGCTGGGCACATCGCCAGTTTGCCATCACCTCCTGTCTTCAGGCTGCAACTCCAGGGGGAAGGGAGCAGAACACCAGGTGCAGTGACCTCTTTGCTGCTTTTAAGCGTTTCAGAAGTCTCCCATTTCCACTTTTCTTGGCTGTACGTGGGGTTGGTGTCACACAGCCACTAGTTCCAGTGAGCAGTGGTATAGCCATCCCTTCCCCCTCTTTATCTGGAGTGGAGCAGACAGTACCATGCTGCCTGCACTTATCTGTTCCTTAGGGCCAGGTCACCCTCTCTTGCAGCTGTGCTCTGTGAGCTATGCAAAGAGTGAGTGTCTTCTGGTCTGCAGCTGTGTTTCCTGCTCACAAGCTCAAAGCAGGGCAGGGTTATGGTGTGAGCACCTCTGTGTGTACTTGGGCTGCACGGGACTGCTTGCTGGATGTGACTCCTGGCTGCAATTCAGCACAGGAGAGAAACACTCGTGTTACAGCAGGGCAAGCTGTCCTTGTAATCCCTCGAAAGGAAGGGCTCTGCTGGGTTTCTCAGGCGTGTGCTTTGGTGTCTCCTGCCTGTGTTGGGATACAAATTTCTCTGGAAATAACTAACCCTGAGGGACATGTGAAGGACAACAGGCACATCTTGAACACCCACAGCCTTGGAAAGGGGCGTGCTGGGGGATAGCTGCAGCTTCTGGTGTTGATGGGCTCCTGGGAAACAGCACAGACCCTGGTGGGATGTTGATTGAGCAGCACATGATGGTCAGGGCACAGCCTCACACTTCTCGCCTCCCTTGTGAGAGGGAAGGGCTTGCAGCTGGTCACCCAGTGCTGTGGCTCTCCAGTGGAGCTGAGCTGTTGGGTGATGCAGATGGAGACTCTGCTGGGGCACTGGCCTGTGGGTTGCCTTTGAGCCTGTGTTGCCCAGTATGGGCTCTGGGCACTCATCAGGGTCAGGGAACTGAAAATGCGTGCAACAATCACCACGATCCTCTTCTGGGTGAAGACTGTGATGAGGTCTGGGTGTATGGTGGGTCTGGGCTGTCTCTGCTCTGCACTGATATGAGTGCTGGAATCACTGGGGCAGGACTTGGGCAGGCCACCCTGCTGCACAGCTCTGGGCACCTGAGCCAGTCTTCCTAGTAGACCTCCTGCATAAGCTCCTGGGCCTCTGCCCTGGGGCTTCACAGGTGACAGAGGAAACAGCAGTGCCAAGCTGGTAGATGATGCCTGTCTGAAGGTTCCCATGTCACTCTTGCTTTCCAGGGATCTGCTACACAATATTTGACCTGGGCTTCCGCTTCGATGTGGCCTGGTGAGTTCCTTGTAAATTCTGGCGTCCTCAGGGCTGTGTGAGGAGGTGGGCAGCGCTGGCAGTGCCTGCGGAGAACAGCACTTGCTTTTGAGCAATGAGCAGTGGTCACTGCATCGCAGGGAAATGAGAGCTACAGTGAGCAGGGCCTCTGCTTTCCATGAGGCGGGATAGATGCAGTCCACGTGTACCTGTGGCTGGTTCCATATGAGGTCTTGGTGCAGCCATCACTGCCCTTCCCAGCCCAGGCTTCCCCTCACAGTGAGGGTTTGGGGGGAAGATCTGGCTCCATGCGGGTGAGGGTCTTGGGTTGCTGGCTGGCAGAGAGAGGCTCTTTTGTCCCACTGTCTGGCAGTGCCCAACCCATCTTAGGCTGCACGGTTGGGTGGCGGGTGCCTGTTTTGGGGCTGTGCACCATGACTAAGGGGGCTCAGCCTGTGTGCTAACTCAGGGCACTTCTTTCTCTCCAGGTTCTTGACGGAGACCTCACCCTTCATGTGGTCCAACCTGGGCATTGGCCTGGCAATCTCCCTGTCTGTGGTGGGAGCTGCCTGGTGAGTGGGGCTGACTCTTTAGCAGGCTTCTGCTGTCCCACTTTGGTAGCTGTGTATACACTGTGGTTTCCCCACGGCAGGGCAGGGGCAGAAGAGCATGTGCATGCAGGGGTGTGGTGCTGTGTGGATTGCCACAGCAGTGGAGCCAGGTTGCTGGGCTCCTGGGAGTTTGGGCAGACCACCTCGCAGGCTGTACTGGCAGTGGAGAGGCAGGGACGTCCCTGGCTCTTTGGAAGTCATACCCCTGAGCGCAGGCTGTGCAGTGGTGGCTCTTGTGCCCCAGCAGCTCTCTTGGTGTAGGTGGTGGAGTTTGGGACCACTTGTACCCTGGGGGTGGACAGGCCAAGTCTGCAGTGTCCCCCAGCTGCATGCTCGATTCTTTGCTCAGCTGGAAGATCCTGGTTTCCCTATTGAATCCTTCTGCGAGTGCCAGACCCTCCACCAACCACCCTTGTCTGCCGCAGGGGGATTTACATCACGGGCTCCAGCATCATTGGTGGTGGAGTCAAAGCCCCTCGGATCAAAACCAAGAATCTGGTCAGGTAAGCACAGACCTGGAGTTAGTGCTTGTGGCTCACGGAGCCGGGCAGGTCCCAGCCTGGTGCAGAGGCTCCCATCCTCTCTCTGGCTGGGTGCTGCTGGCAGACTGTTCCTTGCTGAGCTGCTGACGCCGTTTGCTTTCAAAACAAAGAGCCCTAAAAGAGCCAGAGTGCCGCTTTAAAGAGTCACTGTGTGATATCACACAGTGAATGAGCCCAGTGTGTTCAAAACAAACACCCCGAGATCACACTTCCTGCCCCAGGCAGGGTTCCTCTGGCCAGACTTGCACAGCCCTTCCCCGAAGGAGCAGAAGGGGGCTGCTGGAGGACAGGGCACCCTGGACCCGCTTCCTGCAGCGCCATCGCAGATTACTTGGGTGGCACAGCACAACTAGCAGCCAGTCTTTGTGATTGGCAGCTCCCCTTGTTTGAGAGCAAAGCAGTGGTAGGCTGGGCAGCCTTTCTGCCCTTGGCAGCAGTGGGGCAGGCTCAGATATGGCTGTGGAAGGGTCTGGCTGCTGATGGCTGGGCATGAAGTGGTGGGGGATGCTCAGGGTGGGGCAGAGCTTGGGGCGCATGGTCACACTCACTGAGACACTGTGATTAGACTTTACCTTTCTCCCACAGCATCATTTTCTGCGAGGCTGTGGCCATCTATGGGATCATCATGGCGATTGTCATCAGTAACATGGCTGAGGTATGGGAGGACCTGGGCTGCCCTGCCAGCCCTGCGCTGGCCTCAGGGCCATGCATGGGCATGGGCTGGTGTTGTGAGCAGTGGCCCTGTGGGGGGACTTTGGACACTGTTGTGGCTCTGGGAGCCCCTGGGCTGGTGGTCTGTGTGGTGGTCTTTGTCCACGCTGAAGAGTGGGTTGGGGGAGCGCACCCAAGGCAGGTGTTGTGAAGCCACCCAGTGACATGGCATCAGGGACCAGCCCTGGCCAAAATGTGGCTGCCTCATGCTGTGTTGGGGGCAGGTGCCTCTCCCAGAGACCACAGATTTGCCACTAACCCAGGCCCTGTGCTTTCTCTCAGCCTTTCTCTGCAGTCACCCCAGAGACAATTGGAGCCAGGAACTACCATGCAGGTAAGGACTGTTCAGTCCCTGGTGCTGTTGCTGTGTGCATTGCCACACCCTGACTGCTGCCTTCTGACCTGCCCATGGCTTGCTGCAGATATCTGGAGGACATGGGACTCTTCTACCAAAAAGCAGCTTTTTAGTTACCTTCCCCAGACCTGCACCCAGCTGTGCTATGCTCTCCAGTGGCGGCAGATTGCTGGCACCTGTGGGAGCTGGGGTGCAAACAGGAGGATGCTGCTGGTCCTTGGCAGCTCTAGGTCTTCTGTCACCTCAAGGCAGAACTGCTGCAGCGTGCCCCACCCTGGGGTGCAGGTGGAAGGGGGTTACCCCCTGCTCTTGCAGTGTTCTTCTCTCACAGGTTTCTCCATGTTTGGGGCTGGCCTGACCGTGGGATTATGCAATCTCTTCTGTGGGGTCTGCGTGGGCATCGTGGGCAGCGGGGCTGCCCTGGCTGATGCCCAGAATGCCAGCCTCTTCGTCAAGATCCTGATTGTGGAGATCTTTGGCAGTGCCATAGGGCTGTTTGGGGTCATCGTTGCTATCCTGCAGGTACCCACCTCCCAGGGCCACTAGGCTTATGTAAGCACAAGGTGCCTGTCGCACTGGGTGCTCTTCAGCTCCAGGGAGACACACCTGGGCTCCAGCACAATCCTCTGCATTGGGGTAGGGAGGCTGCTCGTAAGGTTTGGGGTGGCACAGCTCTCCCCACAGTGTACCATCCCTACTTGCAGCAGTGTGAACTCTCGATGGCCCCTCTGAGCAGCTGCCATCAAGAGTGTTGCCTTGGGTGCACCCTGTGTGGTGCTCATGTCTTGTCAGTGGGGCTGATAAGCTGTCTGCAGCTTCAGGATAGTCCCGAGGTGCTTGGATGGGACTGGGGTGCTGGGGTGGGTTTTGTAGGGCATGGCCTAACCTCTTTTTTTTCTTTCTAGACATCTAAAGTAAAAATGGGCAACTGAGCCCTGTCCCACCCGGCCTGTTCCAGCCCGCCCCAAGAGGTGCTGTATATACTTATTTAATGTTTCTATCCTTGGCTGGGGCGGGAGCTGCCCGGCAGCAGGAACCAGAGCCTGGCTGTGTAGAGCCCCATCCCGCCGATCAATCGGCCCCTTGGAAGAAACAAATTTCTCTGTGTGAATTCTGCCCCCAGCAGCCTGGCCCAGCCTGCGGGGCCCTGCTGCTGTGTGTCCCGGTGTGTGTAGAATCGACCACCAGTGCAATTCTGTGTCTGTGAAATAAATATGGTTCTTGTCCAAGGATGCAGCTGTTCCTCTGCCCTGTGTGTGCTGGAGAGGCTTGCAGAGAGCAGGCGCTGATTTGGGCTGACCCCCTGCTCAGAGATTCCCCTCTGTGCCTCTGGCAGAGTCCCTTTCCTGCTCCAGGAACCTGGTGCTGTCCTTGTGTGGGGTTAACTCTGGTGCCTGCTCAGCCTGCAGGAAGCCACCCTCTGGGCTGTGGGAACACAGAGCTCTGCTTTGCTGCCCAGAGCAGGTAGGAGGCTGCTGGAGCAGGCAGCTCTGCGCTGCCTCTGCCAGGCTCCTACCAGGGCTGGCACTGCCCCATGCAAGGCATGCTGGAGGCACAGGCACAAACTGGTTTGGGCCTTTCGGCTCCCACCCAGGTAGTTTAGCGTAGAGGGAGTGTACACAGTATCCGTAGCCTCACTGTGCAGCTGGGGAACCTCAGAAGGACAGAGGAGCAAAGCTTTTGCCTTTTCCAAGGCTATTGCCCAGCCAGCAGCTCTGTTGGCTGGGTGCTGCTGGGTGCTGGGGCTCTCCAGTCTGCAATGCCCCTCTATTCTGGGGGAGCCTGGCAGAGGTCCCAGGCCTGGGAATGCTTCCTGCTGGTTGTGCTCCCGTCTTTCTGGCTGTGGTGAATGCAGCATGGGGAAACTGGCTGCAGACAGCTGGGCCTGAGCTCATCTGCTGCTTGGGGGAAGGGAAGAACGAGGTCCTCCTGCCTCTGCTCTGTGGAGAGCCTGGAGCCAATGCTTCTGCAGTCTGCTTTATCCAGCACAAGGCCCTCATCCTGCTCTGCTGCCAGTACATTTTCGTAGAGAAAGCATTGATCCCTTGGTGCTGTTAGTGCTGTGTCAGAGCAGGTGCATGCTTGGCGCTGCCCATTTCTCTTACCACCTGGATGCAACGGGCTGGGGCAGTGGTGGGGCTGCTGAAACCAGGGAAGGGTTCATGCCTGCTGATTTTTTGCCCTTGAACTAGGGCATCTGCCTCTGCATGGCCTCTCCGAGCTCTGGCGGTCTTCTGGCTCTGCTCCACATCATCCTGGATGTGCTCTGCTCCATGTCGTCCTGGATGTTTTGGGACAGCAGTGTGTTTCAGCTCTGGGTGTGGGAAGGTTGCTAGGGCAAACCAGGCCACTGCTCCTGCTAGCTGTGCTGGCTGGAGGCTGCGGCAGAGCTCCATGTGCCCCTCATAATGGCAGGGATGCAGGCTGGGCCCTGCCTGCTCAGGAGAAAGGGTGTCAGGTGTGGGCAGAGTTCTGCCTGTCCTGCATGAGCGCTGTACCCTCATCCTCTGACATTGCTGCTGCTGCAGGCAGAGATGTCTGAAGCCCCTGGGAGCTGCAGGGCCACCTTGTCAGACCCATGCCAAACTTGTGGGGCTGTGTTCAGGAAGGAGAAGCCTGGGGTTGGAGAACCTGCACTGGTAGTAGAGGAGCTGCTCTGTGGGTTAATCATCTTCCTGGTTAACAACTGTCTGGAAAGACTCACCCACTTGTCTTTCAAGGATGGGTCTTGCCCTTCCCTGCCTTGATGGAAATACCTCTGCTGTCAGGAATCTCCCTCTGTGAGGTGCTTTTCTGCCCTCCAAATCTTGCTGGTGTGTATCATGGCTTTAGCAGGTGTGATGGTTTGACTCTGGCTAAATGCCAGGTATCCACCAAGTCGCTCTATCACTTCCTCCCCCCCCCCCTTTCCC